CTCCCTTTCTGAGAGGCCAGAACCAAAGAGCACACTACCTGGGAATCACCAGCAGCTGTGAGTGGAGGCAGCTAGTCCACCAGAACAGGGATAACAAGGAGTGACGTTAGAAACAGACCCAAAGAACATAACGCTTGCCATTCCAAATGTACAAATTTTACTCTTCCAGACACAAAGACCTAACTGTTGGGAAGACACTGCCCATCTGACATTGCTTTCAGAAAGGAGTATCCTGCTAAACGGACTTCCAAGAAATAATTTACTCAGCTGTGGGCCCAGATAAATAGCTTACCCCCTCCTCAAGATCAGAGTGATTTCAGGGTCAGGCAGCACCCAAGGGTAGCCACTTGGTCTGCATGCACGGGTGCAGAGCATGCCCGGCTCCCAGGCCCACAACAGGACAAACTTCAGAGATTCTGATGTCCTCAGCCTAACTCATCAGGTCCCCCAGCTGACTGGGCTCTCTTTGCTTTCTGCACAACAACAGACAGGAGAGGTAGACTTCACTTCCAAAGTCTGCTGCAGACCACAAGGAAAAAACTAGGCTAGTCTGTTATCTATGCAAGCACAGGCTTGGCAGTTAAATAAATCAGACAGAGGCAGGTAGGAATTTAAATTCAAATTTAATTTGACTACAGGCCCCTGAAGGCCTGTCCCTCCAACCCCACAGAGGGAGAAAAAAAAAAGCACCTCTTAAATCTGGTCCTCCCTTCCTTTTTCCCTGCATTGGAGGAGGAAACATTATAACCCTTACCTACAACTAACTCCTAGAATCAGACAGCCATTTTAAATGGTTCTTTCAGATTAATCTCCTCCTCCACAATCGCCTTTGAAGGGTGCAACTACTTTATAGCATGCTTCCAGATATGGACTATGGAAAACAGCAAAGCAGTACTTCCTAGGAAACAGTGTAGAAGGTGATGGGAAACTCAGAAGCTAAGATCACTTGTGGAGCTGCTACTTTTGCCTTGCCCACCCAATCCCCAAGGCCCATTCTCTGCCTTGCTCTGCATGTTCTGTACCAATGGAGGGTGAGCTCAATGGGCTTTAGTGTCAGACTTCCTTGCCAGCTGGAGTCTGGCTGATTCTCACTCATGGTAGGCATTGCTAAGAAATCAGAGAACAGGAAGATTTCCCCCGTCTCCTCCTTACTGTGTGCTATTTGGGCAGAGTCTACATTGTGTTACCCATCACCAAGGCTAGTATCAAGCATCTCCCTATTTCCAAAGTGGTGGTTCTTGCTGGCTTCTAATAACACTTTTCCTTGCCTCTGTCCCTCTAGTATTGTGGGACATAATTGCCCCCCGTGGTTCATAGTCTTTCTCTGCGTTACCGTTGTTTATGTAGTTTGCCTTAATTCTTCAAACAACACCACCAAATCTTCCCTTCATTCTGCTCCTCTGCACTAAATTTAACTATATCATTTACCATGGTTTGGAGATGGTTTGAATGGGTCCCCTAAGAGTTCATGTTTTTGAAGCTTGATCCCCAGTGTGGTGAGATGCAAGGTAAAGAAACCCTGGAGTAGAGGCTATAATGGTTCAAGTATTTGATTCACTGCCACCCAAGTAAGGGACCCAGACTGAGTTCCAGGCTCTTCAGCTTGTTCCCACCCCAGTTATTATGAACATTCTCTGTCTCTCCTTTAAATTAAGTAAAAATGTACAAAAAAAGAAGATATGGAGCCTAATTAGAAGTTAGAAAACTGGCCCCTCTGATGCTCTGACTAATTGTGTGACCATATGGTCTCTCCTCTCACACCTGCCCACAGTGGTCCTTGCCAGAGCCAAGCTGATGCTAATGCCATGTTCTCAAACCTTCAAAATGGTGACCTAAGTAAACTGTTTTTGCTTATAAGTACCAGCCTCAGATATTTTGTTATATAATAGGACTTCAAAGAGTTCATGGAAGCTGATTGAAAAAAAAAATGCTTACTTTGGTATTAAAATTTTGAAATCCATACAGTTTTTCCATAACATGAACTTTGTGAAGACCCCTTACAATAACATAATGTAGACTGATTATCCATCTGTTTCCTGCCAAGACACTGACTTTACACTTCTGACTTCTACAAATTATATCCCATACAGTTCCAAAAGGTTTCAAAGTCTGAGAAGGAAGATAATCTAGCCAATTTCCTTCTCTGAAGACAGTAATCCGCCTTTCCCGAGATACTTGACTTGTTATCCATGCACTTGGCTCTCCTAAATTAAAGATACATCATTGTGTTTATGTAATACTACAAAAATGAAGTTTGAACTGCTTCCATCTTGTTTTAGCTGTTCCTAGTGAGCTTTTTTAGGAAAAAGCATTGCTGCAAACCCAAGTATAAAGCCTCCTTCCCATGATATGTATTCAATTTGCCCTAACTTCAAATGTTTTATCCAGTTCCACAAGTGAGCTGATACTTGGCATGATTCCAAGCACCAGTTTCCTGTTATCTGTTTTTTTTTAATATTTACTTTGCTTATGAAAGGCAAAGTTAGAAAGAAGTGGAAAAGGATCAGGAGAGGAAGAAAGGCAAAGAGAGACAGACAGACACAGAAAAAATAACTTTCATCTTTTGATTCACTACCCAAATACCCATAACAACCAATGCCAGGAGCTGGGAATTCTATCCTAGTCTCCCATTTGGGTAGCACGATCCCAAGTACTTGGGCCGCCTTCTACTGATTTCCCAGGTGCATTAGCAGGGAACTGAATCAGAGGTGGAACAACCAGGACTTGAACTGGCACTCATATAGGATGTCTCAGGTAGTGACTTAACCTATTGTGTCACAATGCTGGCTCACTCCAGTTTTTGTTCTGTATTCCAAATTTTGGTGATAGGAACCACTCATAGACCAGTATAATCATCCCGCAGTGTTGGTGTATACATGCCCATTAAACCTTCCTGTAGAATCCACTTCTAATACAAATCTCTCAAATTTGCCTGTGTCCTTCAGCCACAGTCACTACCTGACTTTAGGACTTGATCCTTTTCAACTCAATTATCAAAATGTCTGTAGTCTCTCCTTATTTGCTTTCATTTTTCTTATTTTATCAAAGTTGATTTTGAAAAAAAAAAAGTATTCCTGTAACTTCCCTGTCAGTCACCATCCCTTAAGGTAATATTCAAGTTCCTTATACAGGCATGGAAGGTCCTGCAAAATCTGGCTACTGCTTCCTATTTTCTACCTATTTTTTTTTCGTGGGATGACTGCATGCCTTTACTTGCACCCCTTCTCTGCTGCACTCCTTACCTTCCCTGACCTAACTCCCCTGGTAATCTCTCAGACCCATGTTAGATGTAATATTTCCTAGGAAGCTCTCCCATGAACCCTTTCACTCACAAGATGGTTTAGTGGCCTCTCTGTGATTCTTTGCCCCACCTCCTTCACTTTCCTAGCACTTAATATGCTGGCAACTGCTTATTGACTTATCGATGTATTGATGTATTAACAAATGCCTCAACATATCCCTATTCTCATCTTAAAGTGAGAAACTGCCTTCATCCTTTTATCCCCAGTTATTAGCACAGAACATGGCATATTGTTAGTTGCTCAGGAACTATCTCCAGGAAGCTGTAGTACACTTGATCCACTTTTGGTGCAGCTTCCTGCCAACGCACCTGGGAAAGCAACAGAAAATGGAGTAAATGCTTGATTTACTACCACTTTTATGGAAGATCTGGATCTCATATGGTCATTCCAACACCAGTTATTGTGGGCATTTGTTGAGTGAACCAGAAGATAGATGATTTCTCTCTACTCCCTTCACCCACCGTAACTTCCTTTCAAATAAGTAAATAATTTTTAACTAAAGTCATATTTCCAGCATGGTGTTACTAAATGACTGAATTAACTGTGAATGAATTGTGTGTTTGTATTTACTTCCCTGTGTAAGATCAATATAATAATCTGTCCCCTTTGAGCATGGCATATGATACTTGAAAGCTTTTCTTTCCAGTCCTTTCCCTCTAGGAAGGGCTGTACCAAAACTACACTGGCATAATTAAGAATAGAAACATATGAGCTGGCCTTATGGACCAATGTAACTGGCCTAAATTAAGTTAAGGAAGAGAGAAGACTAGTTCTGCCCTAGAAGACACCAATTTCTTATACACTATCCATCAGCTTTGAGCACTGACGGGATGGAGGCCAGCCCTAGAAATACATCAGCCTTAGGTGACATCAGGGCTGTGTTCTCTACTGTCTAACTCATCCCAGATGGAAGATGGAACATTTGATGAGTGATTTTGAAACAGAGGCACTTGTATCATGCTAGGAATGACTATGGGGACAAAAAGGTCACTGCAGATTTCCTACTTTACAAAATGAGCTATGATAGAACATCCAATAAGAATCTGGCAAAAAAATAGCCTTGTCATCAGCATTGTGAATTTATACTTACTGAGTTCCCACAAAATGTTAGTCTTCACATAACTCTCATTGAACATCTTTTTATATCTATAAGGGACTAGAGAATAATCACCATTACATTTTTATGTCATTTCTCCAAGCCAAAAATCACAAAGAGCTTCTATGGATATTGTAAAGCATGCTGAGGCAAAGACGTCATAGTGTATACAAGCATCCTTGACTAATGTTTTCCCCACTGGGAGTCAGCCTCCCAGCCAAACTTCTCCCCAAATGGGAAGGAAAAATAACAGGTGACAAAGAAAAGAGTCAAGATATAGACATAAGAAAGTTACAAACATTTGCACAGCAGAACTCCAGGAATCCCAGGAATCCCAGGAATATTTTGGCATGCCAACACACATCTACAAGAGGTTCAGGTGAATGGAGAGGTAGGAGCCAGGTCTTATCTGTCTCCTGCTCCCTCCATGCAGAACTACTCTAATCAAGACTTTAACCTTTGGCCTAAGTAATGGAGAAGAGCCATAGAACTCTATAAGGTACTTGCTTTTACAGTTACCTTCCAGGAAGAGGATCTTCTCCTCATATTTTATGGCAGATGGGTGGGGTGGGCTTTAGAACTATGGGTTTAGTGGATATTCACAAGTTGGGTAAACATTCAAGATTTCTATTGTTGTAGATGAGTTTTGTAAATGGTCCCACTTGCATAAAGGAAAGTGAAAATAAACAATAGATTAAAAAGAATGAAAACACTAAGCTACCCTATTGGCAGGTGGGTGACAACTGGCCTAAGTATCTCTTTTCAGGGCCTCCTTCCCTCCCCACTCCCTACCCTTTTCAATCTTCTTTCAAAGCTCAAGGTTTGAGGCAGTGGTCAAGCTCCAGGGCATAAGAATTGGTGTTCCGCATGATGCTTTCAACTAACACAACAGGCTTGGGGTTTCTTCCTGCAAAGCAGGACAGCCAGGTGCAGATTAACATGGCCGCAGCAGCTCCACCTCCAGCACAGTAATAGGCCCAGCCCAGCCGACAGGTACCTGTGTAAGCAGAGAAAGACATGAGCATTAGGTTGTCTTCTCATACCATCTCTTGGATGACTATGGAAATGATCCCTTAAAAGTTAGTTTTCATACATCCTCTTTGGGTAGTACGCTTAGAATGAGATTAAGAAAGAGTGAATGCTATTGGGCTTCTTGATTTCTTCCCTGACTGCTAAGCCTTGCTTTAGAAAAAAAAAAAAAAAAGCATTAGAGTTTATTTTTTCTGACAAAGGTGACAGCATGGCAATGCCAATGACAATGTGATAACAATTTGATCATGAGTCAAGCATTATGCTAAGCTCTTTACTTGTATAGTTCATTGATCATCACAGTAATTCTATGAAGGAAAGAGTATTAAACCTCTGTTTTACAAAGGCTGAGACAACAACAGCACGAGTTAATTATGAAAAATCGCGAAACTAGAAAGTGGTAGGATCATGTTATAAGGCTTAGCTCACAGTGACTCTACAGCTCCACAATTATAATGACACTAATAAGCTGGTATAAATGTACCTGATTTAAAGAACCATATTGTGCATCAACATTAGATTTGAATGTTAAAAATCAGCTCCTTTCTCCCTTCTTAATTTGTCTCCACCCTAACCTACCGTTTAATACCCATGAAGAAAAATACACACTGGAATCAAATCCAAAGCTTCTAAGTTTCACCGTGAAGGGTAATGGAAAGCTTCTACTAGAGTCCTGAATAGAATCTAACAGAAGCAGATTCCTTTGTTTGAAGGAAATGTGTTTTTTCAGCAATCCCTCAGAATATGCCAATTCCCAGAGAAAGAGGGGCTATTATTTTAGAAACTCTTAGAGTATCTAAGTGCTCAAATAACATGCTTACCACAAGTCTAGAAATTGTAGCAGATGTTCCAGTGCAGAGAATTTCAAAGATGTCCTGAGAAGAGAGGTAGGCAGCAATCTTCACCTACCTCTTGGTCCCGAAGAAGCTAGTCCTGGTTATAGTCAGGAAATTTGCTTTTTCTTAAGACTAGATCCAGCCAACTATTCAATTATTTCTGTTCACATTATGTCCAGTGAATCTTAATTTTTTTTCTCTTCCATCTTAGCAGCTGTCATGTCACAGAAAGAGTACACAATGATCCTAAGTGAGGTCACTTTGCTTTTTCATCCAGGCCAGTCTAATTGTTTTCCCTGTTTTCTGCCTCAGAAATTTTTATTCTGTAACCAAGTCTTCACTCATGCTGTCTGCCTTGCCAGAAACATCTTTTTGCTCTTATTCACTAATTCTTATCTTCTGAATATCAGTATTCAGAACTCGGCACTTGCCAGGAGCGTTCCTTGATGTACTCTAGTAGGCCAAAGACACCTCACCTAAGTAGCCCTTCAAGGATTCATCTGTGCACCCCATCCATAGCAGAATATATCTGACATAGCATTCCCAGGGAGGTATTCACTTTGCATTTGCTTTATCCATGCTTTCACTCTTTCAATATTGCTGGCTCAACAACACAGACATTTATTTCTTTGCTTGATAATCCCTTCACATTCTGTGTTCACAATAAATACAAGTTCAGAACTTGAAGGTGCAGACACTTTCATTTTCAACCTTCAATCCCCAAAACTATGGCTTAAATTTTGATTAGATCTGGAGTAGAGGTCAACTTTTTTCCATTTTTAAAGAAGATTTATTGAAAGTTAGAGAGAGAGGGAGAGGCAGAGAGAGAGGAAGAGAGAAAGAAAAACAGAAAGTGAGAGAGACTCTTCCTATTCATTGGGTCACTCCCTAGATAGCCTCAGAAACCAGGTCTGTGCCAGACTAAAGCCAAGAGAAAGGAGCTTTTTTCCAGTTCATCCACGTGGGTTGCAGGGTACCAAACACTTGGGATATATTCTGTTGCTTTTCCAAGACCATTACCATGGAGCTGAATTGGAAGGACATGGCCAGGCACCTATGTGGGACACTAGCATTGCAGGAGGTGGCTTTACCTGGGAATGCCATACACCAGCTCCCAGAACAATAGTTTATAACAATAATTATGACACTACGTTTGGTTTCCTCTGATGTTTTCTCAGGATTAGATGAAGGTTGTATTATGCATTCAAGTCAGAATTGTTGCATAAGTGAGGCTATGTCCTCACAGTACATCTCATTAGGAGGCACATGATATCTGTTTTTATTATAGGTGATGTTAATTTTGATCACTTAGTGCATGTATGCCTACTAGATTTTTTTACTGCCAAGTTATTATTGGCATAAAGTTAATAATTGCTCTCTGGAAAAAATACTTTAAGATTATATAAATATTCTAGTCCTCATTAATTTTAATACACTAAAAATGGAATTAAATTGCAAATCCAGCTAACATAATATTCAGTGTTTCTGAAATATGCCACCGTCCTTTCCACAATAAAGTCTATGACATGTTCTATTCCCCCCTGCCTAAATGCTTTATTTGACACATATATTGCCTACCATTCTCTTCAATTAGTTAATGTTCAGTTATTCTTCAGCACTCAGCTCAGTCATTAATTGCTCAGCTAAGTCTTCCCTTACCTCTTTAGAGCAAATTCCCTCCTCAGAGGCTTCCATGGTACCAATGTATGCTTCCTTTTCTATTTGAATGGATGGATGGATCTTAGTCCCTCCTCTGACAAGTGTTATTTGTTCAGTAACATTAATACTTTACTAACAGACCAAGGCAGTGATTTGGCTTCATGAAGCTCTGTGTCCCCATTCAAAAATTATAGCAGAAGCCAGGCTATAGCAGCTATAAAAACAAAACAAATGATAAAGAGGGAAGCAGGGAGGAAGGGAAGGAGAGAGAGATTGCTGTAAAGGGGAAGTTTCCTTACATGGCAATGATATAATCATCTCCAAAGTTATTTCAAAGCAAAATAATGGTGGACTTTTAGAAGAGTAAAGAAAGCCATAGAACTGCATAGATCTGTATCTTCTTGCTGCACCTCCTCCTAGACACACACATTCACACACACTCACTCAAAATGCATTTTTGTGAAAAGCTTTGGAATTCACAAAGTGAAAATTCTGCAGATGGGCAAATCTTCAATATCTGCCATTGTAGGAATGCTGCAGACTTTATTACACTCACTCTGCGGACTGGACTACATGGCTCAGCTAACAGCTCTAACAATTATCAGAAGCAAACAATCAGGAAAGGATCCAAGCTGAATCTTTTTGCTCCCAACCCAATATTCTGCCCTCTATTGTTTTTCTTCTCTTCTTCCTAAATTCCATTTTCCTGTTACAGAGTCCCTTGATCTGTTAGCCCTGAGAAGAGGTCTCTAGATCAATCTGGAATTGTCTCATCAGCACTTATCTTTCAATACCTCCAACCGAAATCCCTTGTACTCTGCTAAGTAGACAAGAGCCACTTCTGAAGTGGTCCACTGTGAAACAATTCCCTCCTCCCCAGCATACAGTCAACCTAGTGTAGACAAGGCACCAGGAGTCGCACTGTATTTCTTCAGTTGCCTCTCAGCCTAAACCCTCTTAGAAGGACCAGGATATTTCTATTAGATACATGCACACTAGGATTGGAGAAATTCTTGTCTATATAAATGAATGGAGCAAATGCATTGCATGCATTCCTCCAAAGCCTTAGGCAGCAAGAAAGTCAATAAAGTGGGCTTCTCTGGAGTAAAGTGTTGGCTACGAAGACTTAAATAAGCCTTACTGACGTCAGAACCAGGTACCCTGAGGCTGGCCAAGAACATACAGTGACATGCTCCTATCGCCATTCTATCAGTGCATTCTGAACTTCCTCGTACTCAGGCTCCTGTTAGGCTGCTGACAAGCATCTATGCCTTAGGCTTCTCTCTTGTAAGAAACTGAAGAGGAACAAGGAATTATATTTTCTGTAATCCCTTCCCTACAACTGCACCTGTTATTTGCTTCACAGAACACAAAGGTTATGTCAATGGCATTGAAATAAAGGTGAAAAAGAAGCAGACATTTAGGATTTGTCTCCACTTTGAGATCCACCATCAGTACTCAGCTATGTCACAGAAGGCTTGTATGACAGTCTGATGGCTAACAGAGGAACTGTCTATGAAAGGATGCAAAAAAATAAGGAGCAGTGGCAATGACCTCGCTCCTTTCCCGTTAATCACTGTTTAGTGAAGTCTCAAGGACCACCACCAGCCCCTAAATTGTTTTCTTCAACATAAGTTTGATCCTTATACTCATTTGGCAAATATTTACTGAGTACCTCCTATAGTCCAGGAATTTTAAATACACAATCTGATTATAAGAGCAGTCATTATTATTTCCATTTTCAGCTCAGGGAAGCCAGTTTCCAAATGGTAAATGTGTCCAAATGTGTCAGAGTAGTTTTGTATGCCAGCCTAACTCAAAGCTTATGGTCATCCGCTTCAATAATGCCAGGAAAATGAAACCAGTGATAAACATCATTATGGCCCAAGTTTGGTGGCAAAGTACTTTCATCAAATCATTTCACCTTTCTGGACCTCAATTTCCTTTTATTTAAGTGGAAACAATTTTATTGGCAAGACTTTAGAAGACCCCTTCCAATTAAAAATGTTCATCGTGAGAGCTATAAGTACTTCAAGAAACATAGAAATATGTTATAGGAACATCAAAACTGTTCACAGCTGAGAGAATTCAGACTCAAGTTGGGATGTATAGAGGGGATGCTCTTTCAACTTGGCTTCATCAGTAGAAAGCAGGCATTCTAGTCAGAGGAAGTTGGTGTAAGAAAAGTTGTGACAAGAATGAAAAAGTGCAGGATGTGTTTCAGAAACAATGTATCATACAAAATTGTTTCAATAAATGAGCTATAATTGGAAAAGACTAAGTTGAGTCTATTATCAGTAGGAGCCAAGCAATATTCTGTGCTTCTCACAATTAGTGAGGAGAAACGGGAAGTTTCTGACCAGATGATAATACAATAGAGCAAGATTCAACTTTGGTCCTATTGCTACTTCATGCTTAAAAAAAAAAAAAAAAGTCTTCATTTGTTTGTACGGGATCTGGGAGCACTGTCACA